AAAGCAGAGGTTAGCTACCCCTGGAGGAGGAGGATCACTGAGAAAGTTAAACACCGAATGATTCATATTACTTGATTTTAAGAAATGGCAAACTAACACATGGAGGATGCACATTCATCATTATGTAAATTAAAGCCACAATGAGAAATCAATTTACACAGATCTACTAGACTAACATTCAAAAACAGACAGACAATAGAAAGTGCTGGGGTACCTGAATTCTTAAATATCACCTAGAGTTCTTATATATCACAAATAGGAAGAAAAAGTGGTATAGTCGCTTTGGAAAATAACCTGGCAGTTTTTTATAAAGTTATCAATAATTTTTACATTTCTATACAACCATCAATCAACCTCATTCCAAGGTATTTACACAAAAGAAATGAAAACACATACCCACAAAGATGTACACATGGATGTTTATCAAGATTATTCATAACAGCCCATTATTTCATAGACAACCCAAAGGTCTATCAACTATAAACATGATATATCCATACAAGGGGCAACACTCTAGTAAAACGGGACAAACCACTAACACATGCTATATCAGCCATGAATCCCAACAGCATTATGCAAATAAAAGGAATCTGGCACAACAGTGTATATTCTGTATAATTCCATTTGTAGACATTCTGGAAACTGCAAACTATGTGGATGAAAGTCAGATCAGTGGTTGTCAGGGGCCAAAAGGAGAGGACTGACTGGTGATGTGCCCAAGAGAATGTTTAACAATGATGTAACTTGGTCTATGTCCTGGCTACAGTAGTTCTACTACTGTACATTTGTTAAAGTCATCAAACTTAGAAAGGGTGAATTTTACTGAATATAACTCATACCTCTAGAAGCCTAACTTACACTGCTTAGTTTTCTACTGGCAGTCAGAGCTCTCCACTACCATGTTTCTTACTCCTGATTCATCTACCCTAATACATTAGGTAAAAGGAATTACTTTTGTTAATATTAACAGCAGCAAAAGCATTAGTAGTCAATATTTACTGGAACTTGCTATATACTCAGACACATGATTAAAAAAAATACTCCAAATATTATCTCTTTATCCTCACTACAACCTTATGAGGCTCTATTATTATCATCTCTATTTAGAAATAGAAACGAAGATTTAAGGAGATTAATAATTTACTTAAGGTCCTGTAAGGCTAACATGGGAAAAATCATGGAATTTGAACTTAGGTCTACTCCAGAACTCTAATATAAAACTTTATTTTTATGACTCCATATCAACATATGTTTATGCTGTTCCTTCAGAATATCTCCTCACCTCAACTTCATTTACTTTAATCTTAACTCTCTTTAAAAGTAAAATAGGGGCAAATCTCAGTGCTATCACATTATCACCACAGTACCCTGAGTTTGATCCCCGGACAGGGAGCTAACCCACATATGGTGCAGCAGACCTCTCCAGTCTCACCCACTGCTCCTCTTAGCAGTGTATTTCAGTAGATGCACCTGTTCTGCTTCCCACTCTGTCTCTGGTGAATCCTCTCACTCCCTGCACCTCTGGCCTACACCCCAGTTCTTCTATGCATAAATAAATCTTCTAAAAATATAGAACTTATATATACATGCCTCATCCATAGTTTTTCTAAATCTCATTCTCCAGATGGCAGCCACTGCTTTCAAAGTATTAAAAATTACAACAGCACTGAATCAATTCAGTTCTCACGACACTTTATATATTCTACCTCTGTTACAGTTATCGACATAGTTTTCCTATTAAACAATTAGTATTTGAGAATAAAGACTTATTTACCCTTATATATAGCTGTTACCTAACACAATTTAATTGAATGAGTGAATGGATGGTGGCTGGGACACTGGTCCAGACAGTAATAAAATTAGATGTTAATGATCACTCTACCCAAGCAATGTACCCTTACTTATTAGCTTCTTAGACTCATTATATTACTGTGTTATTCTTCTTTCCCCAAATTAAATGTCTATGTGTGTGAAATGACACCACCTTATCTGTTTTTTTTTTTTCATGATTTGTCTCCTGCTATCAGAATCTGATGGATCCAAGTAGGAGAAAAAGCCTATCAAAGTGACTTGCTTTGTAAGATTACTCTAAGCATATTCTTGGTCAAAAAAGTATGAACTAAGTAAACCTTCAGACTTTCAATTTATGAAATTTCTGTTTTCTCCCTGAGATCTGGGTTGAAGAACCTAGGGAAAGGAAAAGAGTGAGATAGAGCAAAAGTGATTGGGCTAGATAAATGAAATCTTTTGGAAGATATCTTCTCAATGTAATTGAGAATTCTTTGGGAAATATTACTCCTTTTAATGACTGATTGGGAATGAGAAGCAAATAAGAAATTAATGTAAAAATTGTGTATCTAGGGCCTCCCCAGTGGCGCAGCGGTTGAGCGCTGGGTTGCGAAGCTGCCCGCAGCCTCCGCAGTGCCGGTTCGATCCCCGGTTGCTCCCCGGCCACCGGAGGAGGGCCCCATGTGGCGTGCAGACCTCTCCTGCCGCCCAATGCTCCCCTCAGCAGTGTACTTCGGTCCTTCTGCCTGCTCTGCTCCCCGCTCTGGCTCTGGTGAATTCTCTCACCCTCTGGCGCTTCTGACTGTACCCAGCGCTTGTATAAATAAATAAAAATAAATCTTTAAAAAAAATTGTGTATCTATGAGGGAAATAACAGAGCATCTCAAAGTGCCTTGTTAGTCTGGAAAGTAAGTAATAATACACTATCAGAAACAATTTATTTACTTTTCTATTTTGATCTTTGTTCTTTCAATTCTTCCTCTAGAAGGCTTTCAAGGGTTTTAAAGAAAGTGTGTTATTTGTAAATGCAGCCACTATAAAATTACTTTTGTATAGGGTTTCTATAATTCTAGAAATAATCTTCCCTCCCCTTACCTATCTGGCCCCTTCAGAGATGAATGGCAACTATTTTTTTTTGAGTTTTTCTAGAACCTGAAGAATTTGATTTGTTAGACTATTGTGGGTTAGGCCATTATAAGTGGCCTTTACAACAGCAGATGCTCACTTTTTGGGAAAGAACTAAAAAATATTCTAACAATTGGTGAATGATTATCTTGGAAAGAGAATGATATCTTTGAAAGAGATATGACTCTTTCATCATTTTTTATCTTTATAAGATGAAAAGTCACAAGGCCTTTAAGCAAGCCCTAATAATTTCCATAAATCATTACCTTAGATAACAGCTTGTCAAATAAGATATCCATTATCGCTACAAGTTTAGCTGATATTTCAGCTATGTGGTCATGGTAGTCCTGTAATGAGAAATGACATTGTATTTTAAAATCCCAGAGACAAATCTAAAGAAGACTTAACAATTGAGGAATTAAATTTATGAAAATCCAGTAGGAAAAATATTTTAAAATACCTTAGTAATATGATCAAAATGCCTAAGCATATTATAGTGCTTAGGCTGCAGTCAAGCTTCAAAATGAGCCCGGATCACAGGAATGTAGTGTACAATTAACTGCAAACAGCGTGAAGAAAGAGCTGAACATCCAGGGAGTGGATATATTATGGAGAAACAAAAAAAATATATTAGTTGACTTCAATTATGTATCAAAAAATTTAATTTTATACAGATCCCAGTTTATTTCATAAGTGAAGAACACAGTGGCAGAAAGCAACGTTTCATTTTGTTTAAGTGTTTGGTACAGAACAATGTAATAAATGTGCTGTCCCCAAGTTAGACTCAAGTCATGAGCACTGTTGGCATAAGGAAACTAATGGAACAACTGATTCTCCTCTAACATTCAGACGGCTTGCGCCCCAAAGTACTTCATACATATTATATCTTAATATTTTCCAAAGTGGTGCAACTTCCAAATAACATACTTATTAATGTAGAAGATCCTCATTACATTTCCCCAAAAGTTAGTTTTCCAATACGGTAATACATAAGCCAACAAAGCCGTGTTTGTTACTTTTAGAACCATAAAAACACAATGAGTATAGCAACATCATTGTAACACCTCAGCAAGTGAATTAAATTTAAGAATTCATACCCAAATTTTTTTGTAATTATTGTTTTTAGTCCGACAACTTGCAGTGCACCAGCTCCAAGAACTAACTGGCAACTTCTTGAATTGAAGTACTAACAAAGGAAGGAGAAAAAATATTAAACAATTTATTAAAAACTGTTTTTTATATGTTGGTAGTGTGGCAACAGTTCTATAAAAAACATTGCTGTTTTCTCTCATTCAAGGACCAAATGAATTTTCTATTAGAAGCAATTTTAACCTATTTATGTAATGACCAAAAAAGGTGAGGGGGAAGGTAATTTAAAATATTTACAAAAAATTTGAGAAATTCTGAAAATCAGTTGTTCAGCAATTAATCTAGCTTACATTCATAAAACTACTTCAGTTCTAGTTATTCTTATTGGATAATCCTATTTTCACAAGGGTAAACAAAACCTTTCTGGACTAAAATATAACAACTCGATTTTTGGACAGAATTGATTAGACATTTGCAAAGACAAAGCCTTTTCTCTAAACTAGCAGCTAAAAATATCTGTTAATATGAAATGGCTGAATAAAATTATCACCACATTTTCATTTTACATCAATGGTTCTTAAAGAATGATTTAAGAAAAACATCTAACCTTATTGAGATGAATTTTGTAAAGTTCAGTGAATTCTTCCATGCACATTTGAAACCAGTCCAGGTTTTTTGACCTAAGTGGCCTCAGTCATGTTCAGCACCTAACGAACAAATCATCTCCTGTCTCCAATGTCATTAACAACTCTATGAGTGTAATGAGGAATCACTAAATGCATAGTGGGAAGTAAGCAGGCAGCCTTCTTCCAATAACATGTTGTGATTCAACTACAATCAAATGTCACAAAATGTCTTAAAGATAACTTAACCTTGAAATGTCTTAGAATTGGAAGATCAGTCACATCCTAGCGAATTACTTCCTCCAACTATTTTTCCACTAACAAGAGTAAAATCATACACACCTTTAATAAATCTGACAGACGAGTAAACATGTCAGTAGTAACAGATGGGATATTATCCACACACTGGCAATATTCAAGAATAATTCTTATCAACAGCAATACAGTTCTGCAAGAAAAGAAAGATGACCCAATAGGCAGTAGGAACAAGAAAAATTAAAGCGATTTGGTATATAAAATCAGTACTTGGTAAATTATATATTTTACCTACATGTGCAGCAAAGTAGGGACTAGGGTGAGGTAAGTGATTCCTAGAGTGGAAAATTAAGGAAACACTCAATTTCAGGGGCAAGCAATAGCAGGATCAGAACTTGTATGACACTGAAAAGAGTACCTCCTTAATTTTTTTTGTGCAGTGGGCATATTATTTTGTGTAGCATTCTTATTAAGTAAGTCACTTCAATATAAAAGTACCCCTCCCTTGGCTAATTCAGAAACACTAATAAAAAGCCTACCCAGTGAATCTTATTATATAGTAGGTCTTCATTAATAACTGTTGAATTAATGAAGGAACCCTAAATCCAGATTTTCTTAGTGAGGTGAAAGACAAACTGCAATGGATTCTAAGAACAATTTACTCCTGCTTATTGGTAAGCAAAAAAAAAAAAAGTTCTCTAAAGATGAGAATGTTATCATCAATTCATTAACAGGACATATCAGATATTGAAAAGAGATAATACTAGGAGATAAAATAAATTTGAAGTAAAAGGGAAAGAGCCCTTACATGCCCTAATAGGATCTCTAAGTCCAACGAGATGCTTAGAAATGAAGACATATATAAAATAGTATTTTATGAGTATGAAGGATATACAGAAAGTAGTGATTCAGAAAAGATAGTGTCTAGACGTCAATCCATCTTAATGTCACAGACCATATAATACTATCCACACACACAATCCTACAGCCTGCTTTATTGTGCAGGATTCCACTGCCTATCATGTATAATCTTTTCTAAGAAGATATAATATTCTCCCTTAGGCCAGGGCATTGTTTTGGCAGTAATCTCCACATGAGGAGACAAAAGCCAGAAAAACCAGAGGGGACTGTTCCTTTAAGCACAGAAAAGTAAAGTTAAAATTATAATTTCTTAACTAGAAATAATAATTAAATTAAAGGAATAAGATGATAGAGAGATTGAAATAAACTTTCCCCTTCCAGGAAAAGAACTCCAGAGGAGAAAGAACTCCAGAGAAGCTGTTAATTTACAACGTGCGTATTTCAGAGTTTCACAAATAAGAAAAAATATCATAGAATTGATATTTTGAATATCAAGAATTGATATACTTTTTGAGTGCTTATTAGATCCCAAGAGAAGTCAAAATCTAAGATGTGATCCCTACCTTTGAGGAATCAAGAATCTAACCAGGGAGAGAGATAATTAAATAAATAATTCTAATATACAGGATAAAATGCCACAATAGAGGCATTTCAGAAAAGACTTATTCAGTGTCCCAAAAAAACAAAGAAATATAAAGAATTCTGCTCTAGATAACGGGGACCTAAACCTTGACTCCAAATTTGGCTCCATTTGAGTCATTTATATTAACTACTTAACCTTCTAAGCTTCAATTTTTGTAACTACAGAAAAGCACATGAATCCTGAAATGTCTACTTCACAATATGGTTATTAAGATCAAATGAGATGGTCTATATGAAAATATTTAAACCATGAAGTGCTATTAAATAACAAAGACATTATTTTAGTTACCCATTTAGTAAAAAGCATGTGATACCAGACTAACATTACTAGAACTTATGTTTTTCTTAGTTAACTTGAATTTGAAATACAGTTATCGGTAAGAGTAAAAAACCTAATGACAAATGATAAAAAAAAAAAAAAAAACTAGCAACAACCATCACCTTCTTACTAGGTGCTAGAACTGTGGCAGATACTTTACATTTATTGCCTCTTTACTTTGCAATAATTGTACAAATAGTATTATTTTCCACATTTTGTTTTATAAATAAGGAAATGAGATACCCAGGGCAACTTTCTTTCCCAAGGTCACAAGTACTTTGACTCCAGAGCCCACAACTTCGACTACTGTGCTATATTTTACACACTAAAAAAGCCATGGAAAAAAAAGGAACATTATGGAGCCACTATACCACCTTGGATTGTGTACCTCTAGATTTCTTTTTTTACAAGAAAAATCATCCAATCCCTCTCTTGTTAAGCCAGTATATTCTCTAATAGCTACAGAATTCTACAACATACAGTAAATAAAAAGGAATCTGTAAATTTCTTTTGAATTCTTAGTAGGCTTTTAGATTGTTAATCCAAAATTCCCAGTTCACATCAAGAGAACTAGAAGACTTACTTTTTTTTTTTTAATTTTTCTAGAGGCATGTCTTATTTATCTATTTGTTTGTTTGCTTGGTTTATACATGCACTGGGTACAGTCAGAAGCCGGGAGAGCGAGAGAATTCACCAGAGCCAGAGCAAGGAGCAGAGCAGGCAGAAGGACCGAAGTACACTGCTGAGGGGAGCAGCGGGCGGCAGGAGAGGTCTGCGCGCCATGTGGGATCCTCCTCCGGTGGCCGGGGAGCAGCCGGGGATCGAACCGGCGCCGCAGAGGCCGCGGGCAGCTTCGCAACCCAGCGCTCAACCGCTGCGCCACCTGGGAGGCCCAAGAAGACTTACTTTTTAAATAACTGACAACTAATTAATGAAAGTGTCACTCACCCAACAACGGCATACTGTTGTCCCTCAGCAATGAGAACTTCAGCTGGTTTCCTTTCTTCTTTTGCTAGAGAATAAAGCAAATAAGTGAGACATGGATATAAGATGAAGTAAATACTGGAGGAAAATTTTTAAACTAGGAAAAAGCTGAAGAAGATAGTCCTTGTTTGGGAATTAGAATCATCTTATTTCTGAAAACAAACATCTATTTCTTGGGAAGCAATCTGTCACAGAATAAAGTATTCTGGGTTTGGAATCAGAGCGACCTGGATTTGAGTTTCAGTCTTGCCAATTACTGGCCAATTATTAACTTCTTTAAGTCTCATAATTTATATCCATTAAACACAGGGAGCATTATCTTTTAAAAGGCTGATGAAATGCATATCATCTATGTCTTGTACATAATAGATGATCAGTAAGTAATTAAAAAAATTGGAAAGGCAGAACTAGCATTTTAACTGGTTGTCTTTTCTTTATTAAAATTATTAGACCACAGGTTAATACCTATAATCAAAGTAGACATACATTTACTATTCAAAATTTAAATCTAGAAGTCACTTTATTTCCAGCATATGATATTTTTTACCATTATAAAACAAAATTCTGCATACCGAATTTTGTGAAAAGCACAGTGGGCTAGATTACTGACCTTAATCAGCCAATCATTTTATTATCATACTTCCCTAAGCTTCCAGTCCCTTGAGTTCTACATTAAATGTATTTGCTTAAAGAAATTCAGTATTTTATAATTTCAAATCACAATTCACTATGTAGGTCATTAAATTTTTTGAGGACAGGGATTGTTTCTTTATTTTCTATATGGTAGAGAAGCAGCACAGTATAGTAGTTAAAAGGCCCTAAAAATCAGACTACCTAACTCTGAATCCCAACTCTACGACTTCCTAGCTATCTAACATTAGGCAAGTTGCTTAATTTCTTTGTTTCCATATTTGTGAAATATGTTAAGTATGGTAAGTAAGTGCCATGGACTTATAAATGAGGTAACAATGTAAAGTGCTTTGAACAAACTGTCTATAAAACAAACTGTCTATAAAACAATCAATTAATATTAACTGCTATCCATTAACCTTTGTTTCTCCAATGCCTACCCAAATAGGTAGTCACTCAATAAATGGTGGATGAATGAATAATAAACGAAGACCTTTAACTTAGTAAGAACTACCAAATGTTAAAACATGAACTTCTAATACATGTATTTTCTTCTCCCTGAGAAGAAAAAAAAATTAGGGCAGAAATAGGGTTTGTAAGAGAAACCTCCTGTTGTCATTATCCTCCCGAAATGAAATGAAAATAAACAGTTCACTTAGAGGGAAAAATACATGGTTAAATTCAACCACTTCATCATTTTAATTAAAAACTGTTACGTCTACCAACAGTATATTGCAAGACTATGATCTATGCAGGGAGAGAAAACATGTCTTAGTCATCTGGCATAGCACCTCACAAATATAGCTTGAAAGAGTAGATAAGTGATGTCTTATAATTTTTAACTTGTGATTTAGAATGATTAGAGTGATTTATTTTTCTTTCAGCTTTTGCTATTTGAATGTTTTTGTTTTGCTAATATCACACAATCAATGAAAAAAACTGACTACCAATCTACATTGTTATCTACCAAAAATGGTCACTAGACAACAGAAATTCATTTACTTCAGTTCCTCTCTCTGTCTGGTATGAATTATCTATTTTATATCTGTTCTTACACCCTTCTCTCTAGTTATAGTGGTAGAAGAGATAGTCTCTCTGTTTAACTCTGGATTCAATTCCGGAGCCTTGCTCCACAATAATTTTCTCACTCTTATTCTAATTAATCTTTCTAGTTATAGTAAGCATAAAAAATAATTCAACTTCTCCTACCTTAAAACTCTCCTCTTACTCCCTTAGTGAATTAAGTGATCTAATTTCTCTTAAATATTGAGCTGCCACTTCATCACACACTTCTTCACATCACATTTGTTAAAGGTAGGTTAACTCTTCCTCACCTTTTGAGTTACTTATCACTGAACTAGTCTGACTCTATCATGCCACTGAATTACCAAGATTACAAATGATCTCCTATATGTCAAACTCTAGTGTTCATCACTTAGTCTTTCTCTAACAGTACAATTACATTTTCTACAAATATGAAGTATATAATTTAAAAATATTTCTATGTAAAAATATTAAACTTTCAACATATACACAAAATTTGAAAATGCAGGTACCTGCATCAAAAACATTAAAGAACTTCATAATTTCAAATATATAGTATTACAGGATGAGTTCTACATAAGTTTACATTATTGCATGACAATTCCACTCTAATTAGTACACAAAAAATACCTTAAACATTGCATTTCTTTCAGATGGAACCCAACCAGTATGTGAAACTAATGACAATTTTCTCCATTAATTTTTTTTTTATTTCTATGTTCCTCTGCATTTCGTCCTACCTCTCTATCTTTTACTTCTTAGTTTCCTTCATAGTTTTCTTTTTTATGTTACTTTATATTTTGGTTTTCTCTACCATACCACTACTACAATACTTGTGATTGCTAATGTATATTTTTTCCAATGAGCTTTGCTCTTTTGAAGTAGAATTATAACTATCTCTATCTCAATATCTGACACACAGTACAAGCTTACTAGTGCTCAATGAATGGATACATGTGTCTAAACAATATGTTGCAGTGGTTAAGAACATATCTAAATTATTCCCTTAGAGACAGAGGAGTGCAATTGCTGGGTCATACAGCAGATCCATTTTTAATCCTTTGAGAAACCTCTATATTGTTTTCCACAGGGGCTGGACCAGCCTACATTCCTAACAAGAAGGTTTCTTTTTCTCTAATTCCTCACCAGCACTTGTTTTTGGTCTTTTTGATATGGGCCAGACTCTCACATGTGAGGTGATATCTCATTGTAGTTTTGATATGTTTTTCCCTGATAATAAGTGATGATAAACATTTTGTCATGTGCCTGTCTTTATATCTTCTTTGAAGAATATATAAACACTAATTCAAATGGAAACATGAACTCCCATGTGCACTGCAGTACAATTTACAAAATAGCCAAGCTATGGAAACAAACTAAGTGCCCAAATACAGATAAGTGGATCAGGAAGATGTGGTATATATATTAAATAGAATACTACTCAGCTATCAAAAAAGATGAACTCTTGCCATTTGCAGAAACATGGATGGAGCTGGAAGGGACTAGGCTAAGGGAAATAAGTCAAAGGGGACAGACACATACAAAATATATTTGTCACTTCTATATGGGATACAGAAAAACCAAAAATAGGATTAAAGTAAAACTAAGAACTAACCCTAGGAAGGTGACTACAGAACTAAGATTATTGGGGGAGTGAGAAGATGGAGGAGGGGAGACCAGAGCAAAGTGAAGAGGGAGCATGATGGACTATGATGGTGGAGTACAGGTGTCTTGGTAGTGGGTGTGGTGTGGTAATAATGCCTGGCAACACCTGGTGAAGGGAGATCCTATACTTCTAATACAAAAATAATGAGGTAAAACAATGTTACCTCAATAATAGGACAAAAAGGAAAAGAAATATTACAGTAATAACAATTTTAAAATATTGGAGGAAATTTTGCTTAAAAAAAATACACATACCTCCTGATTTTTTTTTCAGGTAAAGCAATCTTTCCATCTGATATGGAGTCAACAAGATCCTGGAATTCTGCAGGAACATCAGCTTGCTTCCAGCGCTCGTTGTCTAAGAGGAGGCTATTGAGAAGTATAAAGAAAGGAGGGTAAACTTTAATAATACCTCAACACCATCTTCCTTGGCAGAAAAGGAAAAGCTGAGTGAGCACATAAGACTTTAGTTGTTTTTTTAGTAACCACAAAGACTACATGTATCTTGGTTAAATCAAGTAGAGAGTCCATGCAATAAAAGGCACTGAGTTTTCAAATAGTTAATGGCCATTATTATTAGTACCCATGACTTATCAGTGATTAACACTGTAATAAACTAAAATCATTCATAAACAGTACAAATGCTTTCATAAAAGCTTTCCCTTTTAATATCTCCCAGCCTAACCAAGAAAAGTGGTGAAACAGAATTTACTTTGGGTGGGAAAGGAAAAACCAATCTATTGAGTGTCTTCTTGGAAAGCACTTTCATGAAAATAAACATTTTTGTCCCATTTCAAAAGCTAAGAAATGTGATTTTAATTCCACAATCTGCCCAATTAAAAGAAAAAAAATGTCAACGGTTTTGGCTAGTGAATTAAGTTTTCTTCTTTTAAATATAATTATATTTTATAAAGAAAAGGAAAAAAAATTGAAAAATGGAATGGAGATGATAATGATACCTGAGTTTGGTTTTTCTCTCTTCATGAAACCTATTTACAAATTTGTTAGCTTGACTCTGAAGTGCTCCAAGTAATGACATGCTTTTTCTTCCACAGATTTGTTCAGTGTCTGAAATGAATGTTTCCATTACTCTAGAAAGTGTTATGAATTCTGTAGAATTTAGCTTCTCAAGAAAACCATCCTGAATTTTAAAGATGAAACAAAAATCATGACAGAGAGTTAATAGCAAATATGAATATTTTATAAAACCAACTTAGCTGAGGAAATGTAAATATTATATTATTTTATAATGTGCCATATGATCATCTTAATTCATTTTAAAAATTCATTTAAAATGAAATTGCTCAATAATTCAGTCTAAGAATTTAAACATAAAAAGCGTAAGATTGTCTAGATTTTATTCTAACCATTCTATAATGTTTTAGCTCAAGTAAATCCAAGTCCATGGGCCTCTCTGGTAGTACAAGGGGTTAAGTCTCAGCACTATTAAGCTATCTCCAGCTAGTATGACATGAGTTCGATCTCTGGCCAGGGAGCTAACCCACATGGCGCAGCAAACCTCTGTTTCCACCGGTTCTGCTCCTCACTCTGTCTCAAATGAATCCTCTCACCCCCTGCACCTCTGGCCTATACCCAGTTTTTGTATTCATAAATAAGTCTTAAAAAGAAAAAGTAATTTAAAAAAAAATATAAAAATAAATAAGTCCAGGTCATACTATACAATTTTCACAATATTTGAGTTCCATTAATTTTATTAATACATTGTTTGACTAGTTATACACACATTTACATATATATACACATATAAAACAGTATTCATTTCAAATTAAATATTAAGGCATTACGTTTCAAAATAAATCCTTTAATCATTCATTTGTAAAGAAGATTAGTTTTCCTGTTTCTTTTATTTGAGTTATTTTAAATTTCAATCAGACCACTACAATTAACATAATTGTTAAAAATAAAATATGCATTATGGGGAACACAGGGGCATGCAAGGATGTAATTTCAGATCTTCAAAATAATTATATTATGTATAAAATTTTATCAAAATAGCTAACCTTTGCTCTTGACATGAGAAATTTAACAGCTCGATCATGGCATATATCTGAGGCACTATAAAATAACTCCTGGATATTATTTGCCAGTTTTCCTAGCTCTAAGTCAGTTAATTTCATGTCTTCACTGGCCCTGAAAGTGATAAAAAGAGGTTAAGTCAGGGATAGTTTTGAACACATTATTCTCCATAGGTAACATCAATAAAATACAAAAAGCTATAAAATTCACATTTGCAGAAAAATTCTGTAATATATCAAATATATAGTTTTTGTTGTAAAGAATCACTTAAAGAAGTTCAAACAATATTTTACCGTAATCTTACATAAGATAATTTTCTCTCTCTGCTGTAGTGTTCTTAATAGTTCACACTCCAACTGAATATTCTGTAAAATCTAAGCAAAACTTCTAATTTTGGTACAAGGAGGTAGCTGTAGGTTATGCAACAGCAGGAGGAAGAAGAAAGGGATATTACTCTATGGCAAGGAGGTCCTTTTTTCATTTGTAATTATAAATAATTATTAATGTGCAATTCAACTGAACTAATTATTTCCTAAGCATTTACTATGTTTAAGTGCTATACACAGGAGAGGATACAATAGGTTGCTGCCCTCAAGGAATTTACAGTAGAACAGTGGTTATAAGAAGTAATTTTCAAAAAGAAAAATATGTTTTAAACATATCCCCCTGAATCATTTATAAAGACTGCTGGTTCCAAGTTTAGAATTCAGCTAACTGTTACCAGGAGCCACATTAAATGTATTAGCATTACTTTTCTCCCTTTTAGTTGAATTCAAATAACTTTCAAAGACATTACAAAGAATCTGTATGTATGAGAATTAGAGGGAAACTATTCCTCCTGGGTTAAATATTAGAGAAAGGTTACACATTGTTCTTCAGAAGTACAATATCACTAAACAAATTTAATAATGCTTTAAATAAGAGGAATTAATATTTTAAAAATACCATCAGAAATATCTTGCTCGATTTTCACTCTCTAAGACAGATACATACATATCTAATTATAGACAAGGAAACTGAATCTTTAAAAGTTCAAGTGATCTACCCAAGGTGGCAAGATTATGAGGCTAGGACTACAATGCTAGATTATTCTATTGCTAACCTCGAAGCTTCCTCTACTCCAACATTTGTTCGAGTCCAGAGCTATTTCATACCACCTCCTACAAAACTGTTTATATTTCTTTTTTTCCCAAGATTTTATTTATTTTTAATTTATATTATAATTTTTTAATTTTATATATCTTTACATAATTTTTCATTTTTGTACAATGTATGCATTTTCATCTTGGTTATAGTCCCCATACAATTCCCACTCCTCCCCCTTGTTTTTATCTTACTCCCTCGCCCGCCCCCCAGTGTGTCTTTGGTTTATAGTTGCTTGTTGATTTTGATTTTACTTTATTATGATTAGTCTTTTTCCTGGTCCCTTATTTCTTATATAAGAAAAGGAAAGAAAAAGGCCACTTGTAGACATGAGTGTGCAGAAAGAGTTGCTCTGAAAGGAGCATGTTTGTTAAAAGAGATGCCTGCATAGGCACAGGTGGGCAGTAGAGCTGCCTGTTTGCTTAAATTTCAAAGCTCTAATTTACTATTGAAATAAAATTTTATTTTCTGAAGGATTTCTAAAAATTGACAGCATTTAACAATAAGATTAAGAATTTGAAATTCTTGGCAATGTGCTACAAATTCACAAAGATAAAAACATCAAATAAGAAAAGCCTTTTAAAAAGTACAGAGTGAGGGTCTCCCTGGTGGCACAGGTAACGGTTGAGCGCCGCACTGTGAAGCTGTCCACAACCTGTGCAGCGCGGGTTCGATTCAGGCCAGCCGGCGAGGGTCCCACACGGCAAAGCAGATCTCTCCTGTCTCGCCCGCTGCTCCCCTCAGCAGTATATTTCGTCAGTCTGCCTGTTTTGTTCCCTGCTCTGTCTTTGGTGAATCCTCTCACCCTCCCCCACATCTGGTCTATACCCCAGATTTTGTATAAACAAATAAATAAATCTTAAAAAAAAAGTACAGAGTGAGCATACATTGCACAAAAAGGAAGAATGATGCAAAATATTAAAAAAAAAAAAGACAGAGAGGCCATCTGGTGATGCAGGGGTCTCTGTGTTATCAGTCAGGCTATCTCCAGCCCTCCAGCCACAGCAGCTTGAGTTCGATCCCTGGCCAGGGAGCTGACCCACACGGCTCAGGGGGCCTCTCCTGTCTCTCCCACTGCTCCCTTCAGCAGTGTATCTTGGTAGGTCTGCCTGTTCTGCTCCCCATTCTGACTCTGGTGAATCCTCTCATTCCCTGTCTCCTGCACATGTGGCCTACATACCAGTTCTTGTATGCATAAATAAATAAAAATAAATCTTTAAAAAAGGTATAGAGGGCCAATCAAAAAAGTTGGGAAGTTTGGTGGGGAGTTTGGTGGTTTTAACAATAATTTATTTAATTACTTGCAATTTTACTTTTTAAAAATATTTTTTTTTATAGAGGCATGCTTTTATTTATTTATTTTTTTGTTTTTTGTTTATACATGCACTGGGTACAGTCAGAAGCACGTGAGGGTGGGAGAATTCACCAGAGCCAGAGCGGGGAGCAGAGCAGGCAGAAGGACTGAAGTACACTGCTGAGGGGAGCAGCGGTCTGCAGGAGAGGTCTGCGCACCATTTGGGACCCTCCTCCGGTGGCCGGGGAGCAGCTGGGGATCGAACCAGCGCCGCAGAGGCCACGGGCAGCTTCGCAACCCAGCGCTCAACCGCTGCGCCACCGGGGAGGCCCCAAAATATTTCTTCTTTTTAAAGTTTAAATGGATCTCTTTCATGTTAATAGAAAAAAAAAAAAAACCCTCCAAAACATGATCAAGCAGTTCTACTGTGAGTATAAATAGACAAAAGATTTGAAAATGGGAGCTCAAAGACATTCGCATAACTGTGTTCACTGTAGCTCTATTCACAATAGCCAAAAGATGAATGGGTAAACAACATGTGGTATATACACACAAAAGTCTTTAAAAGGAAGGAAATTCCAATACATACTACAACATGGATGAATCTTGAGAAAATTATGCTAAGTTAAATAAGCCAGTTACATAAGAACAAATAACTATATGATTGCACTTAGGTGAAATATCTATAGTACTCAAATTCATAAAGACAGAAAGAAGGGTGATTACCTGGGGATAGGTGGAGGAGGAAATTGGGAAATGTTGCTTATTGGGGTATATTCAATAGTTTGTTTTGCAAGGTAAACATTCTGGAGATAGGTTGTAAAACAATGTGTATATACTTACTATTTGAGCTGTGTACTCAGAAACAGTGAAGATGGGAAATTTTGTTATGTGACTTTTACAACATTTTTAAAATAAAAAAAAATAATGACAAAACTTAATTCTTTTCATTACTTTTCTTTTTCCATTTTCTGCCTAGAAAATTACTTTTTTGTGTCCATATCTGCATATAGTTTACATAGAATGACTCAAAATATCCTTACATTGGCAGCGGCCATAATACTCACATAATATCCACACCTCCTGGAGTAGCAGAACATGATGTCTGCTCTTTGCTGGATGAAGAATCAGTAGTACATTCTGGTTCAGATACGGAATCAGTACTGCAGGGCTCACTATTTGGAGATACATTTCTTTGAGAGGTAGTGTCAACTGCTGTAGGTGCTAATTCACCCTCAATGAATGCATCACTTATAAACATGCCTTCATGGATTAAATAAGCCACCTCTGTGTCCAGTGAATTATCTTTTGTAGCATTCTTCTGTTGTGAAATCTCCTCCAATTCTTTAGTCCTTTGGTTTTTGTCAAGAACTGAGAGAACAACACTGTGAATAGTATTTAACGTTGCCTACAAGAAAACAGGACACATTTTAAAAAGGTTTAAAATATCTTTTATCTAAAGTTCCCAAAAGTGAATCTGTGTATGTACTCTTAACATCTTATAAATGAGTGACGGTCATGCTTATCAAAATTGGTACTGATCTTTTACTATACTGTAAAGGTCACCTGTAAAAAAGTACTCAAGAGAAATAAGTCCCCTAAAGTTTAGGAATAAAGTTCTATGTAGTCATTGAATTTGTAACTAAAAAGCGCCCTTAAGGGCCTCCCCGGTGGCGCAGCGGTTGAGAGCTGGGTTGCGAAGCTGCCCGCGGCCTCTGCGGCGCCAGTTTGATCCCCGGCTGCTCCCCGGCCACTGGAGGAGGGTCCCACATGGCGCGCAGACCTCTCCTGCCGCCCGCTGCTCCCCTCAGCAGTGTGCTTCGGTCCTTCTGCCTGCTCTGCTCCCCGCTCTGGCTCTGGTGAATTCTCCCACCCTCACGTGCTTCTGACTGTACCCAGTGCATGTATAAACAAAAACAAACAAATAAAGAAAGAAAGAAAGAAAACATGCCTCTATATAAAAAAAAAAAATAAAAAAATAAAAAGCGCCCTTAAATACACTGCATAACTTCTTTAAAAGGTTACACTAAACATAACACTACCTTGCTTGTCAGACAATCATATTCATTGTTGTGCCTACTTAAAAGGAAAAAAATTCATACTCCTTACCATGCCTACCTACCTAGCCCGATACATATTTCATCTTGTGCCTATGTCTCACTCACAAACTACTCTCCAGACATTCTGGTTTTCTTTCTAGTCTTCTAACATTCCACTTTTCCTATATCATTACCTGGAATCTTCTTCACATTGATGTTTGCATACACATTTCCTTCTTATCATTCAGTTTCTTGTACGAATGTCACTTCCACAAGGAGGCCCTCCCTGACTATTCTCCCAGAACTCCATGGCTTTACCCATTCGTATCACTATGTTAATTTTTTTAATTCTAAGTCTCTTTTTCCCTAGAATGTTGCCTCCATGAGATACTATAATCCTAATAATGCCTTGAGTAGTGGTTAGCACACAGCAGGTATTCAAATACTGCTGCATGTAAAAGAATGAAACAGTACTGTTTTACATCATACACAAAAATCAAATCAATCAAAATGGATAAAAGACCTGGATATAATATCTGACCATAAAATACATAGAAGACAGGCAAAAAACTTCATGATACAAGCTTCAGAGATATCTTTACAGATTTTTCCCCAAAGCAAGGAAAATAAAAGAGAATATAAGCAACTGGGACAACATCAAGCTAAAAAGCTTCTGCATAGCAATAGAGACTGTAACTAAAACAAAGAGACACCTTACTGAATGGGAGAAAATATTTGCACACCATACATCTGACAAGGGATGAATATCAAAGATCTACAAAGAGTTCATACACCTCAACAAATAAAAACCATCAAAAATTGGGCCAAAGAGTTAAATAGTCACTTCTCCAAAGAAGACATATAGATAGCCAAAAGGCACATGAAAAATGTTCACATTATCAGGGAAATGCAAATTAAAAAATGCAATCAGATACCACTTCATTCTTGTGAGAATGGCCCATATCAAAAAGACCAGCAACAACAAACGCTGGCAAGGGTGTGGAGAAGAAGGAACCCTCTTCTACTATTCGTGGGAATATAGACTGGTCCAGCCCCTAGAGAAAGCTGTGTGGAGGTTATTCAAAAGACTAAAAGTGGATCTGCCATACAACCCAGCAATTCCATTCCTAGGAATCTACCCAAAGAATATAAAAAACACTAATTCAAAAGGAAACTGCACTCCTATGTTCGCTGTAGCACTACTAACAACAGCCAAGATATGAAAATAACCAAAACCAGATGAACAGATGGAGAAAATGTGGTATATATACACAATGGAATACAACTCAATGATCAAAAAAAAAAAGACAAAAAAAAACCTCATGTAATTTGCAGCAACATGGATAGAGCTAGAAGAGGTTATGTTAAGTGAGTTAAGGCAGAAAGAAAAAGAGAAACACAGGATGGTATCACTTATAAGTGGGATACAAAGAAACCAAACAAAGGGTAAGACAAATTCAAATACTAAAACCAACCCGTGAAAGCTGACCATGAAGCTGAGGCGTCCAGAGGGAGTAATAGGAATGAGAAGAGGGGAGGAGGGAGAGCACAACAGACTATGGTGAAGATTATTGGTGATTGGTGGTAGAAATGCTATGGTGACTACACCTGAGGGAGAAATCCTATACTGTCAAAACCCTAACAAGGATGTAAACTAATGGTACTTCAATAAAATAAAAAAAAGAAAACTGCAATAAAGCACATGAGTAGGGCAATTTGAATATGCACTATAAATTCAAAAATGTATTTATAGCAACATTAAATTTCTAGAATAAGTATTGGGAGGGATTATTGAGTGTTTCACAATATTGTAACTCCAGATAATCTAGAGAAAGTCACGCATTGCAATGTCATAAGTGAAAATATTATTATATAACAGGAAAAGCCAAATAAGCATTGTATTTTTTGTAAGATAAAGCAAAACATTAAAAACTATAAAAATTACCAAGATACTCTAAGCACTTTAAATTTTAATTATAACAAAGTTTCTTTAGAAAAAATATAAAAACAAAGAAATTACTTTATTCTATTTTGATTCTATACGTATGTTATATATCTAGAAAACTGATAACTTAGGGATATTATGGACAAATAATCACATAAGCTTACCTTAACTCTCTGTAGAAAAATTGTAAATTTAGAGAATATATCCTTTAGTAGTTCAAACCACTGAGGAAAATTCAACATTCTCATTTGATCTGCAAGTCTAGAAAAAATAATTCAAACAAAAACAATGACTGTGTTTGGGTCACACAATACCTACAAATTGGAGAAAACCATGCTAACTACTCTCTAGTAACAGGAGAATAAACTTCAATTTCATTAGATATCTAACTAAAACCATAGAATTGAATTAGTCAACTACCAAGCATATTGTTTAATATGTCTAATGCTAATTCAGTCAAGTATACTGACTATCATATAGTAATTCCATGTGACTGCTAAATGACTACTGAGAGTAAGCTCATAGACAAATAAACCAACTTTTGTTAAAGGCGGAAAATATATATTCCACAATAAAAATTTTTAAATGATATCTTCCCCAACGAACTTAATAATAACCTACTTTTCAAACTATAAACTAAAAAGTACTTTCCACATATGAAAGTTAATATAGCATGATGGTTAAGAGCATGGGCTCTTGGGACATACTGCCTTAGGTCACTAGCTTTTTAACTCTGGGCAAGTTACTTAATCCCTCCATGCTCTAATTTTCTCCTCTTAATAAGGGGCAAGTATCAGAATGATTTATAGTGCATAAGAAAGTGACATATAGGCATTAGCCAATATTATATTAGTATTTATTTTACTATCATATAAGCATTTAAGTCTATTCACATATTTTTATACAAATACATATATTGGTATATACATAAGTGTAGAGATACATTATATTATCTTAATACATACTAGTATAGACAATATTTGTATAGCTAACATTAATAATTTTAAGGTAAAAAATTAATGTAAAACAGAATTCCATAAAGATATTTTATAGTACCACAATGACTATTACTCTAAATTTTGAATGAATGTTGCTGAGGTCAGGAGTTTATTTTCAAGATACTTGAAATATAGAAAGTTTCCTGTTCAAGTTGAGAAAATTCCCTGGGGAAGAAGAAAATAAAAAACAATTGACTCTCTATGGCCATAGGGCTTTTTTTTTTTTTTAAGATTATTTATTTATTTATTTATTTATTTATTTATTTATTTATTTATTTATTTATATATACGAGCACTGGGTAAACTCAGAAGCGCGGGAGTGTGAGAGAATTCACCAGAGCCACAGGGGAGAGCAGAGAAGGCAGACTGACGAAGTATGCCACTGAGGGGAGCAGTATGCAGCAGGAGAGGTCTGCACGCCATGTGGGTCCCTCGCCTGGCGGCCAGGGATTGAACTGGCACTGTAGAGGCTGTGGGCAGCTTCGCAACCCAACGCTCAACCACTGCACCACCGGAGAGGCCCCTGGTCATAGGGCTTTTAATAGAGTCTCAATAATTGTTTCAATTACTAGTGAATTCTGCCATGTTTAGAGTTGTTTTAACAGTTCAAATTGAGTTTTCATTAGGTAAAAGTGTAGAAATTAAAACTCCATAATTCACATTCTATGAGGTTGGCCTTAATAAATTCAATTGTTCTTGCCATTCATCTTAGGTCAATAAAGTTTAGATGCATGTGCATGAGTAATTCATAGTTACAAATTATTTATCACTATTCTCAAAATAAAATAAGAATTTCAAGAGTGAAGATAAAAATTTACAGATTGGATAATTCAAAATTATACTAAAATTTCTTAAAGCCAATTTTAAGCGGGGTTCTAATTAGATAAGTAAATAATTTATATTTGACACACTTTCTCTTTTATGAATTATCTTCAATTCTCCCTTAATGTCTACATTATTATTCCTCTCCATCTACTCTCTGCTCTGGAGAGCTTGGAGAACCATGAGCCCTTACAAAAGCCTGGAAATAGGAAAGGTACTTAACTGATAGCTCCATCTCCCTTCCTGAAGGGTTGCTCAGAAATATTGTCTTCCTCCAGAGAACAGCATAGATTTTTTTCCAATTACTACATATTTTTCTCCTGAGTTTTATTAACTTCTCTTTTCCCTTGTTCCTTAAAGGTACTGAAGTTTTTCTATACACTACCTGTACCTTAGTCAATAATTCTTTAAATCCCCCTCACTATCAGTATGATGGGTAATCTTTTCCTTGGCTGATTGTTTCTAACCTAGTATTTATACTTACTTCACAACAGCATCAGTGTCTATGTCTTCTATTTGCAAAATTTTGTTAATTACACACTGGAAATTTAAAAAAAAATTGATTAATGTCTTTCAAATTCTAAGTGTTACATGTTCATTATAAAAAGGACCTCAATGAAGTTGATAATAATTTTACCAGAAGTTTTGACTCATATATAGCTAAATGTGTTTAAATAACTGTAGCATTACCCTTACCCTATTAAATTATTACAGAGTATGCTTGAACTATAATAAAATGTCTTATTATATAGTTCTTCAAAATTATACACCAAAATCACAAAACTTTAATACGTAGGACTAAGGTAGAAGTTCCATATTAAAATCCCCCAAAAAATTGATTTTAAAGGTTATATTTCCTTGCAATACACAAACAGTTTAAAGTTAAAAAACAACAACAAAGCCTTATACTTCAGAAGTCTAGAAATTAAAACATAGCAGTTTAAACTTACTTAAAAATATGACATACATACACAGAAAATTGTATAAATTATGTTAAACTCAAAAACTTTGATAAGAAATTTATCTCTGTAAACAGAATTCAGATAATGAAATTGGAAATTGCCTATAAGCTCCTCTCTTGCTCTCCTTCTAGTCATTACTTCTTTCCAAAAGAAGCCACTCTCCTAATTTCTGACTCTTTAGATTAATTTTCCCTGTGTCTAATGTTTACATACATAGAATGAGATTGTGTATATTCCTTTGTGTCTGATTCCTTTGACTCTTCACTATATATGTGATGTTATCCACATTGCTCCAAACAAATTTATTCATTCACCATTCTATTTATTTTTTTCTGTTGATGATGGGTTGTTTCCAGTTTCTATTAGAAATAGTGCTGTCATGAACATTCTTGTGTTCCATTTAGAAAGCTTATGTAAACATAAGTCACAATGTATATTTTGGGTTAGTACCTATTGTCAACAATTTTCAATATTTTACAGTGTTTTAGGCAGTGACGGAAAAAGGTAAAATGGGGTGACTATAATCTTTTTCAGCTTACTTAAATAAAACATTAAAATCCTAACTATGTGTGTCAATTTAATGATCATTACCAATGAAGTATAATCAATACATCAAAAATTATTTTTTCAAATATAGAACTGATGTTCAGTGAATGAGATTTCTCTGAGTAAAAGAATCAAAGATCATTTAATTTATAAATTAAATTTTAATTTATAACTTAAATAAATTATAATTTATAAATTAAGTTTTAATTTATAATTTATTAGAGATTAGGTAAGAGCAAATAAATATTTATCTACTGCTGATGAGAGTATAAATTGGTAAAAACTTTCTAGAAAGCAATTCTGCTCCATTCCAAACAATTTAAAAATACTTTCCACTCTCCGACTGAGAATTCCACTTCTTAGACTCAATTATACGAAAATAGTCTTAAATATGAAAAACCAAGGAAACCAAAGTTTACACCAAAGATGTCTGTCAGTGTTCCTTATAGTACCAAATTGAAAACTAAATAGCCAATATAGAGAAAAGGTTAAAAAGTATTAACCAACATAATGGTAGAATATTATATAACCAGTAAAAATTGTTTTTCAAGGCTTATATAATGAAAATATGTTCATGCTATCTTGTGATTCAGCTAAAATACATGTACAACTCAAAATCATACTCACAGTGTGATAACAATAAAAAACTAAGAAGCTACACAAAGAAATAAAGTGATAATCTTTTGACTAGTAGGGATATGCTTTTCTTCTATTTTTTCTATGTTCAAATAAATGAGAAAATATTACTATTATGCTACATACATTATTACTAGGATCATGCAAAAAACTTTTTACAAGATTCTAGACCAAAATGTAATAAAAATATATACTTACCTGTTTAATGATATTCTTTGCTGTAATAATCATTTCTTCACTATAGATTTCTAAAAAATTAAGTTTTCTTTGTTTTAAAAGTCCAAATACAAGAGATACTAGTCTTTCCTATTAAAATAAAACAAACATATGTAATTTCACACTTTAATCTCAGAAGAAGAAATATTCAATATCAAGGGTTTTATTGCTTGATCCTCAATCTCTACCCTACATACAGTGTTTTCTATAAGCTGAAAAGAAATCCTTCCACATCAACCTTGTCATTATATTTTTCTAAAATCTGATCATTTCTAAAAATGGTTAAATCCTTATTCCACTACACTGGATCATGTGAAATTGATTTAGGGACAAAACAATATAAGAGGTTTTTTTTGGCCAACCTCCAACAAGCTAGAAATTATCCTACTCAAACTGTGATGACCAAAAATATTCTATGAAACCCATAGTTATTTTTATTAACTTTTTAATATTTTTTCATAAAAAATTATTGATTTGTCATTTACAAAAATACCTAGGTTTCGGAGTACACCTTCACACTTCAACATGCTTCACTTGCCATCAACCAAAGCTCCAATGTCACTACACTATTTACCTTCCCCCTGCCCTTTCTTTACCTTCCTCCCTCCTTCACCCCCAGACTGCTGGGAACTATCATCCAGAATTACATTTGTTATGTTTTGCCAGTTTTCTTTGGGTAGAGACCTGTGCTTTTTAATTTGTGGTCTAAAAGACTAGAATATTGATCTGGAATATGTTATCCATAGGGAATTTACTGAAATGTACACAAAAATCTCTTTATCTACATATGCTGCTCAGCATTTTGGTATTAATCAGCATTGTGTAGTTAACAAATAAACAAAACATAAATATGATCTATTTGTATAAAACATGTTCATAATAGGTACTAAGTGAATGTGAAGATCTGAAAATAACCACATAATGATAATCACTTTTTATAAGACCTATGTCAGTGCATGCATACATGTGGATAAAAGTTCATCTGCCCGAAGGCTTCTGCAGTAGCCAGCCGGGAAGTTATTCCACGCCAGGCCCCTTCCGACCAGCAGTCTGAGCCCACAG